CACCCCCCAGACTCTTCGCCAGCCAACATGTCTCTCCCCTCCAAGCTCTAGCCACAGTTAACTTCTTTCAGTTTATGACATTATGACTTTTCTTATCTCCTGTTTTTCTATACATTATTTCCTCATTTGGAATACTTTGAGATTTTAAAAAAAATCTTCTGTATTGGAATTATTTTTAGAATTATGACTAGATGTTATTTTTTCAAGTAGTCATGTATTCCCTGACTCTTATCTTAAGATAGAACACCTGCTTTATATTTTTATGGGTCTATATACTTCTGCTATCACAGTGCCCATAATGTCTGCCTGTCTGTCTATTAATATCTATCTATCTATCTACATATTTATCTGCTTTCCCAACTGGACAGCTATTCCTGTAAATTTATTTACCGCTGCACTACCACCATGCAGGTGACAGTTAATTTGTATGCACTCTAAATATACTTGTTCAAGAAAAAATAAAAACTAAGATTTTATTTTTTTTAAAAAAAAGGTCACTTATTTCATTCCCTTTGATTGCATTAATATGCTATATATTTGAGTTGTAAAAGTTTATATTTGTACTAGTTTACTGGATTATTATAATAGCATACATAGGAGAACTATACTACATAACTTAGACAATTTAGTAATTCTCAAAATTTCCATTTATGAACTCTAGGATATTTATTAGGTAATATAAATTTTCTGCATGAAATGAATATGTCAAAATTCAGCTCCAAATCACACAGTGCCATCCAGTGCCACATGATGTTCTGTCCACAATTCCCCTGGAAAGAGAGGCAACACTCAGTGCACATCTGTACAAACACTGGTTAATCTAGCTAATGTCTTCATCAAACTCAAAGATGTAAATTAGGAGTTTTTTCTACACTTTGTTTGGAAAGAAATTTTCTTACTATCTTTTATAGATACCAGAAGTGAGTCTTCAATAACTCTATGAGGCTGAGCACATTAAGATGGATAGGTAGGTATGTTTTGGGGGACAGAGACAGAGAAAGGGAGAGAGAGAAATATTAGAGTACACAGAAGTATAAAAAAAATAATCTAAAGAAAAGTAACATTGCATAGTGAATGAAGTTCACAAACCTGAGCAAGTCAATTTTACCAACCTACCATACACAACACAGGAATGTAAGTGATGTAAGTATTGATTGGAAATGTGGTTAAGTGTTTAGTGCTTATCTGACACTCTATGCTTTGGGAGGGAAGAATAAAAGTACAAAATTGGATGAGGATCTTTTAACATAAGTAGTATCAAGAAGTTTAAACAAAGCTACAGCAAAGTAATAAGTATTGAGGTAAAATCATGTAGGGCTTTTCTCTAAGCATGCATTTGAAATTTTCCTTTCAAGATGAGCTACAATGAAGGGAGTATATATGTGATTGTAGAATGAACAGGGTAAACATAATTTTAAAAATTGGAATCAAAATAAAACTTTTCTGTCCTTTGAAATTAAAAATAAGGAGATTTAGAATTTCTGGAGAAACTTTAGACACATCTCTATCTGTGTGAGGATTAATAAGTAAAAATACAGCAGTGGTGATAGCTCAAATTTTCTTTTACCTTTTAAGATATTATCTTAAAATATCTATACTTTTTTTTTTGTATAAAGTTTCAATACTCTGTTTTCTGCACTAGTTTATCTAACAGCCTAGAAACAACAGCAAAAAATCTCAGCAAAGAAGTTGATTTTTTTTTTAATGGAAAAGGCAGAATGGTTTAATGATCTAAGGTTTCAAATGTTTGGATCCAATAATTAGTTTTAAAATATGAAAAGACCTTAGGTAGGCTAGATAGTAAAGGAATTGCTACAAAGTATTTTTATTCAATTAATATTTAATATTACCTTAATATGCAAAAAAATATAAAGCTGAGGAAGAGGAAGTAGAAAGGCAAGTAAGGTACTGTGTCTATCCTAAGGAGGTACCTAACCTGAAAATTATGTCTGGTTTTCCCCTTATTTTCTGACCCTTTTAAAAAATTATTTCACAGTATAACAAAGTTATACTCAAGAAACTATGAATATTTTAAACCATTAATACATGTTATTATTATTATTCTATATACTGTTATAGTACCAGTACATGAAATTATAATTGGTATAACTAATATGCCATGTTAAGTGATTGAGCAAATACAAACTGAACATATTCCTTCTAAGAATTCCTAAATACACCTCATAGAAGAGTAAGGTTGCATAAAACATACCATAAATACATACAGCTTAAGATAATATAGTATAACTATCCAATTTCTGAAAATCAGAAGTGTTTTAAAAATTTATAATAATGAATCTGAGTGCAATTTAATTCTATAAAGCATTTGATTCCCCAAAGTCTCACTGAACTAATTAGGATATAGTAGTGTGTTTAGTTTTTAAAGTATTGCTGCCCATAATTTGACTCTTCTGATAAAATGGTGAATACTGAATTCATATTTGAAAATATGGTCCAGCTCTACCCAAGATAATACAAGAGGTGCTAGATCACCATTGTTTTTCGTGGCTGAGTAGAAGTCTATGGTATACATATGCCACATTTTACTAATCCACTCATGGATTGATGGGCACTTGGGTTGTTTCCACATCTTTGCAATTGTGAATTGTGCTGCTATAAACATTCTAGTGAAGATGTCTTTTTTATAGAATGTCTTTTGTTCTTTTGAGTAGATGCCCAGTAATGGGACTGCTAGATCAAATGGCAGTTCTACTTATAGCTTTTAGAGGTATCTCTCTATTACTTTCCACAGAGGTTGTACCAGTTTGCAGTCCCACCTACAATGACCCATTCTACTAAATGAAGTATCACAAGAATGGAAAAACAAGCACTACCTGTACTCACCTTCAAATTGGTATTAAATGATCAATATTTAAGTGTACATATAGTAATAACATTAATTGGGTGTTGGGCAGATGGGAGGGGGGAGGAAGGTATGAGTATATACACCCCAAATAGGAGCGGTGTGCACTGTCTCAGGGATAGACACACTTGAACCTCTGACTCAGGTGGGGCAAAGGTAATATATGTAACCTAAACATTTGTACCCCTATAATATGCTGAAATAAAAAAAATTTAAAAAAAAAAGAAAATAAGGTCCAAAAGTATTCAATTATTCAGTTTAAAATTTTGTGAAGATACTGGTTTCTTATTTAAATATATCTTTCTCTTTGAATTCAGATTTGGCTCCTTTAAAGAAGTGACAAAAGCATTCTTTACCTCAAATTTAACACATTGACTGCCACACTAGAAAAAAAATTTTTTTCCCCCTGCGGTCACATGTTTTATTAAAACAAAACAATCCTTTATAATTTGTTATTTTTAATTGTTTTCTGTGTATGAGTTACATGCAATACAATCCACATTTTTAAAATTAAATTGTCAATATTAATTATAACAATAAGAACATCAATAAGTAAGATTTTTCATGGATCAGCTGCCGGGTTTTGCTTCATGAGGCCCAGGGCTTGAAACTAGCCTTAGTTAAATACAACTCATATAGCAGTCAATGTGTTAAGGCACTGCCAATTTGTGACTGGTGGGATTAAAATACAACACTGAAATTTTATTCTACTCACACATTCCTGTTAGGAATAATTATGAGTAGAATTTTCTTCAGATATATAGACTTTCCTAAGGATAATATTCTCATATTAAACTCTGAAACTTAACTGTACGTATTCGATGACTAGGTCAAGGTGGTTATAACAATTTTATTTCTATGGCACTAAGTCAAACCTTATAAAATATTAGTGAGTTAATAAAAGCCTTAAAAAATCTTTGAAATGAATTAAACGAACAAAGTACCTTCCACAAGAATACAATTAACTTTTTCAGATAATATACATTCATACTAACATAATATAAAAAATACAAGGAAAATACATTTAAAAAATAAAGCGCACTAAAATCCAATAACTAGTGGTTAAATATGGTAAGCTAATAGTCTATTTAATTATCCTTTCAATCGTTCAACCAATAGTTATTGGGCTTTTTTTATGTATAAGATGCTAGGTTAGGTTCATTAGATACAATGCTGAGTAATTCAAAATGATCCCTTACTATAGACTGTATTACTTTTCTCCTTCAAAATTATTTGCAAAAAGTCATTGAAGAATACAATTCTTCCAAGATTTATCCTGGTTAAAATATTTTTAACCTAAAACATGTTTGGATTTCCTATATTGAACAGATATAGTCCATCTTGTACTCTTCTTGGTACTTATGTGTAAAAGCATAAATTTTTTATCAAACTTAATCATACTATCTTTAATAGGATAGAAAAATCTCTGCATAAGTTTAAGTAGTGTTAAATTATTTTAAAGTACAGTTATTTCCTCAAAGGGGAGTTATTTGGAAATAATGGAAATGACCCTATATCCATAACTATGCCTGCCAATTAATTACTTCACACACAAAAAAAATTGAAATGTGATCAGCGACTGTAATTAATTTTTGTGAAGTAAGGTTTTTGGAAAGACTTTGAAGAGCATTACATTTGGAATAGTGTCCTTTTTATACACTTAGAAATATAATGTACATTTATTTTCTTAGAAAAGTGATAGCTAGAACAGCTACAAAATACCTATGGATAATAGTAGTCCCTAATAGAAGTCCTATTTAATTTATAGTGAGTATTTAACTTGAATGCATTGTCTTGGGAATTATTTTCAAAATAAAATTGTAAAATTTCTATCAATATTAGAGTTATATGAAAATTTTTATATTTAGGATTATTTTTAGTGCTTTAAAGTGTAGTGTTAATCACCATAAATGTAAAAATATATATATATTTTTAAGTATACCATTAAGAGAAATATAATTTAAATATAAACTAGAAATAATAAAGTTGAGAGTCCTACAAAGGAGTAAACTAATTAATAACATACAATAATCTTATACAGAATAACTCCATAATGTACCATAGCCAAATTTGTCAGTCAGTCATTCATAAAAAAACTATGAGGGAAATTACTGAAATGCTTAAATCTTGCACTTACCAACCTCCACAACACTAGAACAGTTGGGATCTGTGAAGCCATCCGGACACTCACAGGAAAAAGACGAACCGCCCAATTCTGACAAACAGATACCTCCATTTTCACATGGATTGGGATCACAAATATCACCTGAGCAAGAAAGAACAGAGATTGACATTTGTTTTTTTTGTCTTAGGCATTGCAGCATACCAGTTCACATACTCCATTGATGTTTCTTTGGCAAAGTCATTTTACTATTAAGATTTACATATAACCCTTTTGAAACCATGAGCATTTTAAAACATAGTAAGCAGCATGATAAAAATTAAACTGTATAATTCAAGCATTGCATCTGAAAACTCTTAATACATTTTTAGGTTCTGTCATCACACGCAAATGAACTGTTGTCTAATTTGTTAAAAACTATTAACTTAAATATCTGTGGAAGGCTGGTTTCATTAATTACTCTAATAAATATTCTCTCTGTAGCCACATACTTTGCTGTTTAACTTTGTAGTTCCTTTCACTAAAGAGGTGGAGTTTATTTGTAGATCTCTAGAATCTGGCTTGTCCATGTGACTTGCTTCAGCCGGTAAGATGTTAACAGATTTGAAGCCAGCAGAGATTTGAAAAAGCACTTAAATATATCATTTTTTCCCTTGGAATTCTGCCACTGCCAGAAGAATGAATTCAGGTGAGCTTGCTTGAGAGAGGTGAGAGAAACTTAGAAGGATAAGAGAGAAACTGCCTCAGAGAAGTAGTTGTTCCATAACTATGACAAGCTACAAAATATGTGGCCCTGGCTTTGGTAGTGAGTGGCAGATGAAAGCTGGAAAAACACTAATGGAATGGTTGCACAAGGCTCTACTTTTGATATGTAGAGAAGCAGTTGGTATAGCTGTCCCCTGAGGTAACTTAGGAGACAGAAAACATATGTGATGAACTTTGGGATATGAGTAATGAGATTTCCAGGTCGACTGTTAAACCATCAGTTGGTTCTTAATACCTGTCTATGATAAAAGTACCACAAGAAAAAAACGTGCTAAATAAAGAACCAGTTAGTTGGGAAGTAAAGAGAAGGAATCTAGAGGGACCAGGCACAACTATTTCTCTTGTACTAGAAAATACAACTGTTTCTCTACTCCAGGCTCTCAAGCTAGTGAATGCTGAAATCCAGAAAGACATGGCCCCAACATAAACATCAAATTAGGGATGTGGCTACAAGCACTTTCCTGAGAACATTTAAAATAATACAAATGGATCATGAAAGTCCCTTTCAGCTAAATAAAGGGCTTCTACAGATCTTAAGGATTGTCTCTGAGCAGCCTAACATACCCAAAAGTAACCCTGATTAAGTCCAGAGTGAAAAGTAGGATTCAGACAGAATCACGGGTATGGCTTTATTGCACAAAGAAGATTTGAATCGAATTCATAAAAGCCCATAAAGTTTTCTGTTTGTTTGTTTTGTTTTGTTTTGTTTTTCTTTTCTTTTTTTTTAATTTCAGCATATAATGGAGGTACAAATGTTAAGGTTACATACATTGCCCTTGTCTCCCCTCCCCCCTCGAGCCAGAACTTCAGGTGTGTCCATCCCCCAGACAGTGTGCATCACACTCACTATGTATGTATATAGCCCATATAGAGTTTTTAAAGAAGCTTTGTAGGTAAAAGTGCCACCTCCTGGACTAAAAGAGAATGAGGATTTTCAAAATTTAAAAAAGCATATGGGCCCCAACTTGCTATTATTTTGCATTCCTTTGATACTTTATTTCTTTGTAACAGCTTCACATGAATTATTTCACTTCTTTAGATTAATCATTTTAAACTGTCAGAAAAATGAAAATAGAGGTTAAAGTTTATGTTAATTTTTTAAAATTTCAAAATATTAATGTTAAGAGTTACAAAAGTTTTAGGTTACATGGATCACTTTTGTAACGCTTGAGCCCCAGCTACAGGTGAGCCCATCACACCAATAGTGTTCATAGTACCCATGAGGTAGATTTTTTTGCTCTTCCACCCTCCTCCCTGATTGATTTCCACTGAGTTTTCCTTCCCTCTGTGCACATGTGTGCTCATCAGTTAGTTCCAAATTAATAGTGAGTGGACGTGATGTGTTTTTTTCCCCCATTCTTGAGATACTTCACTTAGGAGAATGGTCTCCAGTTCCACCCCCACTGTTGCAAAAGGAATTAATTCAACTTATTTATGGCTGAGTAGTACTCCATGGTATACATATACCAGGTTTTATTAATCCATTAATGAATCAGTGAGGACTTGGGTTGATTCCACATCTTTGCAATTGTGAATTATGCTGTAAGAAACATTCAAGTACAGGTGTCTTTTGATGAAAATTCTTCTTTTCCTTTGGGTAAGTGCCCAATACTGGGATTGCTGGATCATATGGTAAGTCTACATTTAGTTCTTTGAGGAATCTCCATACTGTTTTCCATAGACGTTGTACTAATTTGCAGTCCCACCAAAAGTGTGGAAGCATTCCTTTTTCTCTGCAGCCATGCCAATATCTGCCAAATATTGTTTTGATACTTTTTAATCAAAGCCATTCTGACTGGGGTAAGGTAATATCTCATTATGGTGTTTTTTTGTTTTGTTTTGTTTTGTTTTGTTTTGTTTTGTTTGAGGCAGAGTCTCACACTGTTGCCCTGGCTAGAGTGCCATGGTGTCAGCCTAGCTCACAGCAACCTCAAACTCCTGGGCTCAAGTGATCCTTCTGCCTCAGCCTCCCAAGTAGCTGGGACTACAGGCATGTGATACCATGCCCGGCTAATTTTTTCTATGTTTTTAGTTGGCCAATTAATTTCTTTCTATTTTTTTAGTAGAGCCGGGGGTGGGGGTCTCACTTATGCTCAGGCTGGTCTCGAAGTCCTGACCTCAAGCGATCCTCCCACCTCGGCCTCCCAGAGCGCAAGGAGTACAAGCCACCACGCCCAGCCTCATTATGGTTTTAATTTGCATTTCCCTGATGATTAGTGACCTTGAGCATTTTTCATATGTTTATTGGCCATTTGTCTTTCTTCTTTTGAGAAATTTCTGTTAGTATCTTTTGACTACTTTTTAATAGTGTTTTTTTTTTCTTGCTGATTTGCTTGAGTTCTTTCCCTTTATTGCATGTGTAGCTTGAGAATATTTTCTCCCATTCTGTGGGTTGACTCCCATTCTGTGATTTGCTCTGTCAATTGTATCCTTAGCTGTGTAGAAGCTTTTTAGTTTAGTCAAATCCCATTTATTAATTTTCGTTGTTCTATGACTGCCCTGTCTTAGTCATAAATTATCTGCCTAGACCAATATCTAGAAGAGTATTTTCTATATTTCCCTCTAGAATTCTTATTGTTTCATGCCTTCGATCTAAATCTTTTATCCATCTTGAATTAATTTTTATGAGTGGTAACACGTAGAGGTCCTGTTTCATTCTTCTGCATGTGGCTATCCAGTTTTCCCAGTACCATTTATTGAACAGTGCTTCTTTTCCCCAGTGTACACTGTTGTCTGCTTTGTCAAAAATCAGCTGGTTGCAGGTAGATGTTTCATATCTGGCTTCTCTTTTATGTTCCATTCCTCTACATCTTTATTTTTGTACCAATTCCATGCCGTTTGAGATACTATAGCCTTGTAGCATAGTTTGAAAGGCAGGTAATATTATGATTTGTCCTTTTTCCTTAAGATTGCTTTGGCTATTTGGGCTCTTTTCTGGTTCCATATGAAACATAAAATTATGTTTTCTAGATCTGTGAAGTATGACATTGGTAATTTGATGGAGATTGTACTGCATTTTTATATCACTTTGAGTAGTATGGACATTTTAACAATGATATTTGGCCTATCCAGGAGCATGATATGTTTTTCCATTTGTTTATATCCTCTGCAATTTCTTTCCTCAGTGTTTTGTAGTTCTTGTACAGAACTTTCACCTCCTTGATTAAGTATATTCCTATGTATTTTATTTTCTTTGTAGTTATTATGAATGGTATTAGGTCTTTGATTTGACTCTTGGTTTGACTGTTAATAGTATATAGAAATGCTATTAATTTATGTACATTGATTTTGTATCCTGAAACTTTGCTGAAATTATTTGTCAATTCCAGGACACTATTGGTGGAATCTTTGGGGTTTTTTTTTTTATATATAAAATCATATTGTCAATGAGGAGAAATAGTCTGACAACCCTTTTCACAGTTTGGATACTCTTAATATTCTTCTCTTATTGGATTACTCTGGCTAGGACTTCCAGCACTATGTTGAATAGAGGTAGTAACAGTGGGCATCCTTGTCTTGTTCCAGTTCTTGGGGAAAATGCTTTCAATTTTTCCCCATTCAGTATGAAGTAGTCCCAGCAAAAATTGATTAGGATTCTCTTGACCATTCATAAAGGTAGCTATAGACAGGGAAAGCAATGTAGGCACTGTTTGATCCCAAATTCAGTTAAATGCCAGATCATGAAACAAGAAATTAAAATCCCCAAAATCACTACTCATCTCCATCCCCATCCCCAGGTAATCAATCTAAAAGCAAAGATGTTATTGTTGAAATTTCACAGGAAGAGTCAATCACCAGTTTAATGTGAGATCATGCCTCTATGCCTTTGGTGTAAGCAAGGCAGCCAAGCTTGATAAAGTCAGTCTAACAACACTGTCATCTACTAAATCCATGTATTGTATGAGGGTGAGTATTAACACGCAAACTTTTTTCAACGACGTATCAGCCATAATCCCATCTATTTTCAATAGTACCAAAAAAAAGGATCTACATTCCCCAGTCCGGAATCTGTAATGGCAGCAATGTTAATAGATGAAGGTAAATTGTAGATGATTATATTGATTTATTTACACTGACCGACACAATGTCTACAAGAGAAAATGAAGGCATGAGCAATATCCTCAACATTGTCAAGTATATCCGTTTGTTATTTACACATTTATCCATAATCAAGAACCTCTCATTTGGATCCCACTTTCTCCTATAGCAAAATTCCTGCATGGTATATTAACTAAGGTGGGCATACAGTCTTGATATACCCAGGGGCACAAGAGGCCAGCATTTCTGGTCCCTTTCATTATCTCATCATTGTGAATAGTTTGGGGTACCTTCATAAACCTTTCTTGGCACCTGTGCTGCTCTTTATAGATGATAAAACT